GGCCGGGGCCGGGCCGGCGCAGCCCTTGCCCCGCTGCTGCTCCCGGGGTGCACTGTCACCCAGCCCGGCACCTGTGTGTTGTCCGTGTACATCATCGTTTTCTTAGGAACTTGGGATCATTGCCCATCTAAACTTTTCTCTGGAAGACCTCTGAAACAGCTTCTAAAACCACGGTGCAGTCTGCTGCACGTCTGCTTCTGCATCTGTCTCCCCCCCCTCCCCCCTTGCCTTTTATCACAGAAGAACGACGGCCAACTTCCTTCTGCTTTACTGATGTGCCCTGGCAGCTCTGAGGAGCTGGGTGTTCACATCATCGGTCGTGGCTGAAACGCCCAGGATTAGCAGAAGGCAGAGCAGCTCCATTTCCAGGCCAGAACACACAGCGTCATACCAATACTGACGCCGAAACCTTAACTTAGCAAAAGGGAACTGCGCTTAAGACTAGCATTCCACAGGTATGGGCTCTGCATCATCACTCATGTCCTGCAGCTGAAATAAGAAAGGCAAGGCCAAACAGCCCTGACGGGATTCTTTGTATTTCTTCTGCATTGTAAAGCACTAAACGTCACCGTCAAGAATTCCTTATCTGCTCTCCTGGCCGGTTAAACCCCGTGCAAGCCCCTCTAAAATGAAACAGTACACTTCACTCAGTATCAGGCCTGTGAAACAAAATCTACTTACGAGTTTTCTTTGTTGTTAGGTGCAGGTGAGAAAGGCAGATGATTTTTCAACAGGTGCTACATTTTCTAGATTGCCACAGCATTCCTAATTCAGACTGGTTTCTTCCTTGTTAGGTGCAGATGATGTTTGTGCAGTATGCCTCATACAGAAATTAAGATAAAGAAGGCAAACTGTTCTTCATGGACTTTGGAAGGAGGCACTGAAAGAGCCTCTTTTATTGACAGCAAATATGAAACTGCATTCAGACAACATATTGAAAAAGCCTGCTTGTAGCTATAGTTAATAATTAACATGCATGTGCATACAGTAGTCTTCAAGTGACCATTGCAGTCTAAAAGCCCCAAAGAGCAAAACCGAGGGAAAAAAAAGAAAGAGGACTAATTCAGTAACTGACATTTTCTGTCAGGTATAGACAGGCTCAGCGATCAGCATGTAATACAATATTGCATGCAGGCACAATCAAGGCATGAGGAGTGGAAATTTAGTCTTACTTCCAGGTATGTGTCAAATCATTTGGTTTACACTGTGCTAGGAGTCTGTTTCCTTAATGAATGTTTAAAAACTTCATCTGTTAGTTCTCTAAATGTTTTCCTTTTTCTGAGGCTACTTTTGTAATAGTGGTCTTATGGTGCTTGGTCAGTAGTTCTCAAATGCTGTGAAAAGGAGTAATACTATTGACATATTTAATGTATACCTCATTTTTTTTTAGTAGAACAGTAGAGAACACTGATGGCTAGCAGAAGAGCCTACATCTGGGAACTAACACTGCTTACAAAATTACTCATTGTAATACTGATCACTTAGCATAATTACCATGACACAAACAATTTTTAAAACAATTCAGCAAACTGGAGAGGGCAGCAACATTATACGCCTTGTTTGAAACATCTATTGTTTCCCATCTAAACTTGTCTGTCTTTCCGTAACCTGAACTCCCCCCCCCCCCCAAAAGTTTGTAATTAATAACTGTTTAAAAAACTTTATTTGTTCCTCTGTCTGTTTATTCTACCCCCAGCGAAACAGCCTCTGCTGGCTATCTCCTTTGGTAGGGACCATGAATCTTGTCTTTGTTCTATGACTGCCAACAGTACAATTTACGTAAGAGACAATCTGGGATAGAGAGGGACATAACTCTCAACAACTTTTCCTGATCTTTAAATGGGAGTTTAAAAAAAAATCTCAATAGCAAAATGGTCTGGAACATGTTTGATTGGCTACAATTGTAAATAGCGGTGTGCAATTTAAAATACCATCCCCTAAGGGGCCACAACATGATGCAGCTTGCCCTTAGTCTTTCCTTGCCCTGCCAATGACATCAGCCGTTGGGCAAAGTTAATCTCTTCCTGATAGCCTTCACTTCTGCCCCTCCCATGCTTCCTTTTCTATTTTGAATGCTCTTCCAGGTATTTTGGCAAGCCTCCGCCTTCCTTCCCAGGTCTCCCACACATTCCAGAGCTGGTTAGCAAAATCACGGAGTTCAACCATTAACCAGAAACTAGAAGTAACCACACACAAACTTCCCTGCGAATTCCCCTTCATTTGGCTACCACCTCTTCAGGACAGGTCTTTATCCCATTTATTGAAGCTGCTTAAAGTCTTTAGGAATTTTAAGGAAACAAGATGGGATAATTTCATCACATGGAACAGTCTTGCAGGGAAGAGGTAATGTTTCCTAAAAATTATCACAAGTGGAAAGGAAAATGAACCAACAAACACCAGACAAGCATTTAGGCACGTTAACTCCTGTCAAGCAAATGTAGTATTTTGTGACCAATACAGACAGCGAGCAGTTGCTGTAAGCTTCACTACGTGAATCAATGGAGACTTCCGAAGAACTCACTGGCACACAGGAAACAATGAACTTCAGCAAGGTTGGACATGCTAGGACATTCAGACTGTAGGCCGGAAGCAGAAAAAAACAATCATGAAAAAGAATGATTAGCTTTTGGTGAAACTCTGATATACGTAAAAAACCCCCAATGCACCCACTTTCTCTGCTGAGTCTGAGCATTCAGTACAGCTACAAATCCCAATACTTTTCTTTCAAAAGTACTCTGTATGTTTTCCTTCACTGAAGATGGAGCAACTGTCTTGTGGCAAAAATGCTGCCAGTAATGCAACGGCTCGTACCCATACTAACTGTCCGCAGTGCATATCAAAGGATTTTCCTTCAGCTATTTCTTTTGGGAGGTAAAGCAAGAAATGATTGATGTGATGTGAGGTATGTAACCATAGAACTTACTCAAGTAAGTTACAGAAGTAAAAAAATAGTATGGAAGAGTTACTTGTCTTGGGGCAATATGCAAAGTCTGACATTAGGATCAGAGCTCGTCCTGTGCCTCCACTGTACAAGCATGATGGCTGATGGGGTCCTTGCCCTTACTTACACTTTGATGCAAGTATTAGAGCAAAAAATGAGTCACATCCTATGATTCATTTTGTACACTGAGATAAAACTCATTCTAACTTGCTGATGCTATTTATCTTCACTGGTTAGATTAAATCCATTTGTTACTCAGATACCTAAAATCAGGAAACTGTTTGCATAAATAGCAGTAGCATTATGGGTGAAGGGCAAGGCATGTCAAATGTGAAAGTTGAAATGCTCTTATAAAATCCACCCTGACTGGCCAAATTTTGAACAGAATCTTTCCAGTCAGTGTTTTAAGAAACACAAAGAATTCCAAACAATACGCTTGTCTGTGGTCTTTAGCTTTATCATCATAGCCTGAAATCACACCTTTACATAATGAATTAGGAATTCTACATGCAACTTTATTTTGGTATAAACATTTGCACAAGATGCAAGGGAATGAAGACTGAACCTCCAAATATGAATCAGATGCATGTTAGTGAGTATGTTGCATGCAAATTACTTAAGAAAATATTTTTTTGAAAAGTCAATCAGAAAAATAATGACATAAGCTATACATGATCGGGCAAAGGAAGAACCAGGAGGAAGTATCCTGGATTGAAATATCAAGTTGTTAACATCTGTACAAATGTGTTTAAATAGCTATTTGAATGACTAGGAGATTGAGCTAAATACTATCATTTTCCATATGCTGTAAATTATTTTCAGTATTCTAAATTCAAAACAGTAAAAAGATGTTCTATTTTTAGCTTTCCTTTGTTAAAAAAACCCAAACATCTTTTACTCTTGTACTCATATGAGTTGGTAGTCATTGTATTTACCTGATACAGTAGAGTTGAAATTTCAGATAATTGTTGTATTTTTTATTTTGCTTGAAAAACATGCAAACAGCGTGCACAATTAACCAAGAGCTGCTTCTAGTACGATGTTATTCTCTATTTAATAGTGAAAAATGGCAGGTAACAATGCTTATACTTTAAATGCAATTACTGGGCAACAATACTGTATAGCTATTGTTTTTCAGTGACAAAATTAATCACATCTGAATGATTCTAGCTAGCCAGAGAATCATGCCAAACTAAACACAAACGTCAGAGGAACCGAGAAGAAAAATAGTTTGCACTGAACATCTTTTCATATATTGATAAACAATTTATAAGAGTATGGTATAACTGTTTCCTCAAGAATTAGTCAACAACTTTGTGCTTCCATTTTATAGGCAATTAAATCCCACCAGTGGTAATAACACAACAGTGCAAGTGTTGAAGCATTCTTCTTGCAGTTCACGATTTCTTTTAAAGCTTTTTGGTTTAAGATCCAGAGTATATAATTTATTTCATTCTCATTTTTTAACAGACTGAAAAAGACAGCTTCATCAGCCTAAGTACCATACTCAATTCTAAGAAGCAAAAAGGCAAAAGTTTTTGCGTCAGCAAGGTACTAAGGGAAGCCTTGTTGTATCATAGTGAAAAAAGATAATCTAAGCTCACTTACTTAAGAAATGCAGCAGAACAAAATTATTGCAAATTTTGCTCAACTAAAAGAAAAAAGGTCAATAAATTATGCATTTTTACTGTTTGAAGAACAAAAGGGATCAGAAAGAGAAATCCACAGTAACAGAATGAAGTGTTTGCAGAGATATTGCTGCACAACTTAAACATCACATACCAGCCTTTCCAGTTCCATATGATGATTACAGCCACACAGACCTCTAAGTAATTTAAAGTTTAGCTCAAAAAAAAAAAAAATCCTAACGTGAAAGAAACTAGAATTTAGAATTTGGAGAAAAGTGCAAGTTCTGAAATATTATTACATGCATGATACAAAATGAAAAGTTTCTACCTGCCACAGTAATTCATTTATGACATGTTTAATTTGGCTGTGATGCATTATTCACTCACAATAGCCACAAATTTTACTGCAATGCATTAACAAGATCATGACTTATGTCAATGCGATTCACAGGCATTTCTTTTTTGGGGTGAATGTCTCACCGAAAGAAGTTTAGCATCTGTGCGATAGTCAGAAGTCACAGCTGGGTCAGTCCAAACAAGACTACAGTCAGTAAGAATTCATGACTGACTTCTGCAGTAAGAAAGTAAGAAATGCAGTGACAGGAAGGGCAACCTCAACCACCTGTACTACATGGACACAGATTCAAGCGGTGACACAGAAATCCAAAGACTGAGCACTAGAGAAAAATACATTATTTTCAGTTTTGTTGCACAACATAGTGATGTCAAGAAAAACAACAACAGAATTAAGCTCAGGTACTTCAGAAACCTAAGAAGGGCTTGGCTTGTGGTTAAAGTCTTTAAACTTCCATGAGGTAGAATATCATCAAGTATCTTCTTTCCCAGAATATATTAAGCAGGACAAATCCAATTTAGTTTTTAACGCTGTTGAAAATTCTTTTGATAGTAGTTCATGAAGGGATACTCTGTCATGAGAATACACCCAATTCCGTCCAGTCCAGTCATAGCGCTTGGGCCCACTAGAAAACAAAACACACTCTGTGTAAGTACAGATTATTCATGAGTTGCTGCTGGAAGCCTGTATTTATAAAGTACCCCGGAGAGTGCCCAGGAAAAGGAACAGACAGCATGGAGAAGGACTGGTGGGCAGTCTGAGGAATTGGAGCAGAAAAGGCCAGATCTGCCAGGAACCGCTGAGCCATCCAACAGATATATCTGAAAGGTGACAAGACGTATCAGTCACTCCCAGTGGACACAATCTTCTTCCCTTCTTGCTTTTGGCAGTGATTTCCTCAATTTCTTCTGTTGCCCCCTTCTTCCCTCACCTGTATAATTTTCTTGCACACAAATATTACAAGGGATATCTGTATAATACTGAATTAATGCTATTGATTAGTTCTTGCAGCAGTCACATGCAGATAGTCTAAGCACAGCACAACACAGCTTACCACTCTCACTTTCTTTTTAGATGCAACAAAAGAATTTACCAGCTGAAAGCAAGTATATTGGCATGTGGGAGATTTGTATTTAAAATGCTATTTTCCTCTGTGCTATCGTATAGTTGTTGGCTTGATTCTTCAGTCCTACAATAAGCATCAAGAAGGAAACTTGAACACCTGGACTCCACTCCAGACCTTACTATCCACTCAATTCTCCACATCTGAGAAAGGAGAGTGATTGAAAAGTACTCACTACTGTTAACGTCAGCTAGAAAGACTAAGAAAAGAAAAAGGAATTAACTGGTCGACTGGGATAAACAAACAAACCATCAGCCTTATCCCTGAACTCACAGGACAAAATGCCTTGGAACTCAGATAATCCACACACAAGGTCTGCTAGAAAACAGTCTTTCCTACATACACACATGAACAATCTGCAGGTTCTCTACAAAAATAAACACTAATCTGAACTTTGAATAACCTGAATTACTCGCAATATTGAAATGAAGAACTTTACAACCACTAATCAAACTATGAAAAGTCACAAACACAAATCAAAGCCACTTCCACTGAAATCTCACTAGCTGTATGTGAACTGGTAACTATTTGGAATGGAGATTATGTGCTCCAGTTACTTTACTATGCATTTCTCACTTCTTTGTCTTTGCAGTGCAAGCGTATGTTTATACTGTCTTGCACCTAGAGAATGACAGAATGGGATGCAGCCACTCATGAAAATCAGGCTAAGACAGGCCATTTAATCAACAAGGACAAAGAAAAGAACCGTCTAAGTTACTTGAACTGTTTTTAAATGTTACATAGTAAATATCAGTGATACAGTTAGCATATGAAACACCTCCATAGTTCTCTGAATCTCTAAAATGCTGTACAAATGTGATTTTTTTTCCATTTAGATTAATAATTTAAGCAAGGATCTTGTGAATTTCATAAAATGCCTACAAAGTTAAATATAGACTAAATATATTTCTCATGGAAAGTCTGCATACATTTTTAAACAGTAAGAGAGAAGAATTAAAATATCACATTAAGGTATTATTAAGAGATGCTGTGTAAGGTTGAAAAATCTTTTCAGTCAAAGGAGGTACATGAAATTACTGCAATTGCACTGCTGGCAGGTTGCACCCACCCCCTCACCCCCCCTTTTTAAATTCTCAACTAAGTAAAGCTTTACAAACACAAGCTTAAATTCACTTTGGTATATAGATGCAAGATAGCAAACAGAAGGTCAAAAAAATACAAGAAAATCTCTCTCTCACATCTTAAGAATTTGTCTCCCTCAGGATATGTTCTTAAAGACTCAAGATTCTACATTTACTGTACAAATTTTCCAAATATAACATTCAATGCAAGTGATCACTGGCAGTAACATTTGCATCTTTCACTTCCTAGCATATTGCACTTAAGAAGTATGTCACTCCAGATCATACAGTATTTGCTGGGGTTGCTTTTCAGAAGTTAAGGAATAAGTCAATATGTAGCATCATATTTCAGGAAATACCACTGTTTACCATAATACCAGTTAAGGAAGCACAAAACTTGATGTTTGTAGGTGAATCATTTTTCATCACAGGTGATGAAAAATACCATCAGAGAATTTTCAAGTTTATCTCTTTCATTGTGTATTTTTATTCACTACTGGAGCAATCAAAAAAAAAAAAAAGTTTAGCAATTTTTCACAAATTCCATATTCTGTAGCATGTATGTCTTGGCTCAAGTAGACTTGGCCCCACACATATAGGAATTCTCTGAATTTTGGTTTTCATAAGTAGTTGAAACCTTTGTGTCAGTGACACAAAAATCTTACAGTCATCTTAAACAGAATCAAGGTTCAGAAATTATGCTTGTTGCAAAATATACAGAATGAATAAATTCTGACACACAGCCTGCATCAGTCTAAACAAAAAGGTTTGTTAGCTTGCTAGTCCTGTGCCTTAGCAAGACATGTACCTGTTAAGTAAATTATTTAATTAATAAAAGGATTCTGGGATAGGAGTTAGTAGAAAAAAATTACTGACCTAGTACACTGTGCACCAGCCAGTACATAAGTACATTAAAGCAAAATTAGAATTTTCTTCAGGTAAATTTTATGTCTATTGTTTCTCTAAAAATCTTAAATTTCATTGTGCTTTCCACCCTCCTCCATCCCCCTGAAACAAACCCTACTACAGAATTCTACTACTGCAAAACCATTCCCGGTTTTGCAATCAATACATTCTTTCTGAACAACATTCAAGATGTACGCCTGCATAGTTACTGGTAGTACTCATACTTTCCAGCTAGCTGGTTCCTTCACCAGTAACACTGACCAACTCTCTCACTTCTTTCCCTGGGACAGCGGCACAGAATACAAATTTTTGGGGGACACAGTTACAACATTTTCCCACATATCTGGCTGCCCTCCCTGCTGAAACCAGTCAGAAAACCTCAAACGGACTGAAACACAGCATTAGAGAAGGCAGAGGGAACAGCTAGCTGAGGCTTCCATAAAGCACAGATGCTTGAGAAAAACAACCAGTGGGAGAGCACATAAACATATAAAGCAGGAAATCCCACAAGTTTAAAGGGGAAGGAGCCACCCTGTTTAAATACAAAGAGATGTTTAGATCATAACATCATCGTCACTTCTTTTCCAACAGAAGCTTTGTTGTTTTTTTTTTTTTCTAATCATGGCTGTTTATTTTTTCTATGAGTAGGCTATATTCTGTAGACAGTCGTTTTGGATCAGAACAGGGTATGAAAGTTCTGTATCACACATTTCCTGGATTAGGTATGTCAGTATATTGCACTGTATCTCAAACCTCTATAACAAATTATTATAGAACATTTAGATTATATCATGTTCTCAGAATATACTGAGTTAAACGGTTACTTGAAAAGGATATTACATAGCCCATGCCTTGCTATAAAAAAGGGGAAGTACCTTTCCACCCAATCTGCAGACACTACATAATTAACTTACACATAACTTACCTAGTGGGTGAGGACAGCCAAATCTGCCGGTTTGGTGTTTGCTTATTGATTACATATGTTCCCATGTCTCCGCCTAATTTAACTGTTAGAACTCCACTCTTAAAACAGAAAGAAAATAAAGAGAGAAATTAAAAATATGTATCCTGTTACTTGACAAGAATTACATCATCTGCTGTAGATAAATAGAAACTTACATATCTGTATCACATTCCAGCTATTTCCCAAACAGTAATAAATTGGAAGAATGATCATTAGGTATCAAAAACTTGTGTTAATACCTAGGACAACCTGCATATCTTTGAGTCTGATCTAGACTTTAAACCTTCTCAGAGGTCAGAGTTTGATTCAGTGTGTTTGCACCATTCACAATGGCACTACTTAAATAATCCTCTTGAGCTTTGACCTGTCATCTTGAAAGGACTGCTAGTTCATTTTGCAATGCTTAAAATATCATCCAACAACAACTTTTTCTATTCATGAACAATACAGGATCGGTGTGGTTCAAAGTCAAGAAGCTTTATGTGTTATTGCTAGATTCCTGAGCCATGCAATTTTACCTAACTTTTCTTAAGTAACTGTAACAGTTTTCCTGTGAATAAACACAATTCTTTCTCCAATAATTCTGATGAAGTACTTAGATCCTGAATTGTTCCTCAAAAATATTCCACTTCTAAACTGCATGAGGTCTGGTTTGTTTTAGTTATGTGCCAGCTTTAGACCATTATCCTAGTAAGGATTTATTTTCTCTTTCTTACTCACATTTCTTACTGACAACACAATTCATATTTCTCTGACATTTTCACAAGCGCATTTGAAAAGCATATGTAGCTCTGACAAAAATATTTCTGTCCTAACTTGAAGAATAAAAGAACAACACTACTTGGACTAGAGTTAAACTACAGATGACCTGAATTACGCTAATTGAAAAGGGTATCTCTACAGAATACAGTTTGAAGATTCAGCTAATAGGTTATTCATATTTAATCTACAGTTTCTCAAATAATTCATCCCCTATAGCACGATAAAGCTTCTTTAGGGGAATCATACTTTTCATGCTTTAGTAAGAAGGTACTACTAGAGCTACTATCATTGCTAGGGCTATTTTTTATGTATAAACGCTTAGTGTGGGGAAAAACCACTTTCATTTATGAGTACCTACAGCCTGGAAACTTACTCTGTGGCACAGGCAGTAGCTTGGAGCTTCATTCCCCTACAAAGTAACTCAGATATGGTTTCTGACATATCTCAAGGATCACCAGCCATGAAATAACACTCTCAAGGTCTGATTTTTTTACCTTATTTTCCATGCTGTTTCTATGCTTGATAAGGGATTTATAGCTGTGATCAATAAAACAAAAATAAAAGGCTCCCCTGGTTAATATTGCCATCAGGTAGTCCTACCAGTTGTTTTAATTGGATATTGGTTTAGTGCAAAGAAGGACAAGAACAAGCTACTTCTCTTGTTGTCAGAATTCAAACTTTTCTGTATCTCAGCAGTTTTAGATGTGTAGAGATACAGCAGAGTAAGAGCAGGTTGGCGAATTAGGCCTGAATAGGGCTATAAAGGTTTCACTATTGTTCTACGTGCTTTTTAGTGCAATATTAAGTATTCAGCATGATGTTCTGATGTTATGCTGTATGCTATAGAAACACTCTAAGTAAGTAGGTTTCCAAAGCGTTAACAAAAAATGTATACTGTTGTGTGTCAGCTGTTGGTGAGTGTTGTTGCTCTGTCATTGCAAATTAAATAAAGGTTAACTTCTAATGCTGTGTTTAAAACATTTTCCAAGAAATTCTGCAATACTTTTGAAATACTAGAAAATACAACTTGAGTTTTTAAGATCTTAAATTGCAAGATTTTTTTTACCATATTTTAATTTTTGTACTACTAGATGAATTTTTGTTAGCTCCTGGTAACAAGGATATTCTTCGAAAGATTTTTTTCCCTGGATACGAAGATATAAATTGCATGAAGAAATCAAGCTTTTAACAATTCACAAGCATAATGGACCTTTATCATGTTCGCCACCTTGTGGCTTGCTATAGCACTAGCCTTGTTTGTTTGGAATTAACTGGTAAACTTGGGACTATTTAACCTTTCGGTCTTAACAGAAACGACAACATATTGTTATGTCATCATACAGTCACTGCAACAAAGGAGTACTGGTAAAAATTAGATGGATGTAAAAAGAATTACTTCTGAGCCTCACAGTGAGTCAATGTCAAACACAATCCACAGTGGCTGGAGATAAAATTCTGTTAAGATGACTCATCACCTTCATATAATGAAGTGCTTAAGAATATTAAAGAGGTAAATTATAATCTTTTTACTAATTCTTGTCCTAAGCTCTTTAAATCAGGCTAATAGGTGCTGATATGTTAAGACATACTGAATAATAACGGTTAAACATTTCTTTGCTTTTCACCAGAAAAACAATTAGGTATAACTTTAACTACATACTTAAAGCAACAATTAGTATTTGCTAAGGGCAACAACAGAATCCTACTAACAATAGGTTATTTTCTATCCTAGCTATAAGAAATAAAGAATGAACATTATGATGACAAAGTTAGAGGACCAAGTCTGAAAACTACAGGGTTGGCTGGGTTTTTGCACAGTGCAACCCAAACCATCTACTTCAATGTCCCTGAGCATAAAACTTTAACTGACAGGGCTAGTAGAAAGCAGCCTCCTTGTGGGAAGACATGAAGAGGGAGCAGCAATTATGTGACCTCAAAAAATGCAGTAGTGAAAGACCTGTGCTGCAGACAGCAGTGTAGGGAGAAACTGCACTCTCCTCCAAGTCACATAGAGAGCTGTAACATACAAACCACTTCATGAATTGTATAAAAAACTAATAAATTCCCTATACAAATAGAATGGACATTTTTAATCTGAGTCTGTCACTCCTGTACAAGAATTTGAGTGGCTGACCTATTAAAGGATCCAATTATTGGGCTAGCAGCCACCCAATGTCTCCTGTGTCAATAGCCTTCTCCCCATGTAGGCTCTGGTCTCACTTTTACAACCACCTATCCAAACATTGCATCACCTTGTTGCTTCTCTCCATCCACCACAGGCTCTCATCAGTAAAGCCAGGACAAACGTACTCTACCTGGTTAAGACAAATGCTGCTTCTCAGTATTCAGAGCAATCAAAGAAACTGCTCTACCAATTACACATGATGTACATGTACTATGCCACGTAGGCCTGTCCTACTATTCATCGGGAAGGAAGTGACTGCTGATGTCAGAGGTCTATGCATGTTTAGAAAAACTTATAGACCACTGTGAAATTAGAAACCCGTTTCTGTCTCCTCTTGTGCTGATATATTATTCTATATTATGTCTTTCTCTATACACTAAACATTTTAAACCCTCAAATCATACAACAGCATGTGTAACTTTTTAACAGAACAGTTGCTCCAGTCAGTATAAACAGGCTTATTTTAACAATAAAGCTGCAAAACCTCATTGTATTTTAAGTGTTTGCACTAAGGTGACTAATTTAAAATTCTCCTTCAAAGAAAAAAAAAAATCTACAATAATTACCGTGGTAATAGAATGTTTAAAACATACCCCTAAAGAGACATCATAATCTTCTGGGGTAAAGGGCTTATCTGTCAGGTCCTCAAAGAAATCTGCTAAAGAGTCCAGTGTTTCTTCAGCCAGTTTTTCGTAAGTGGTCTCATCTAAAGAGCTACAAATGACATACAAGCCCATAATTAGGAGGAAAAATATGGAAGACAGTATTTTCCCTATAATAAAAACATACCTAGACCATGACCTTGAAGGAAACAGTGAACGTGAAATGATCATACAGAACAAGTAGTAATTTTTCTTAAGGTAATGTAGGTAACAATCCACCTTATAAATGGAGCTGGAATTTTGAAATTTTGGTAGTACTGATCTCTTAACTGAGGAATATGTACTTCTTTCCTTAGATGTACTGACCCCTGTGTACTAAGACGACAGAGTGAAATTTCCAAAAGAGACATTTTCATAAAAGGACTTTGTGCAAGAATTACTTAGTTTTGAACTGTACAAATAGAGACAAGCATCTCCTGTTTAGAAGCTTATGTCATCTGACTCTAAGAAACACGCTGTAACTATAAGCAGTTTAGAAACATCAATATCACATGCCATTTCTACGTACACCATTTGACTCCTCAACTGGAATCACCAATGCAGCCCAGTAATTAGACATTATTTAAAGTGTGCTTATGAACTAATACATGCAATTACCAACTTCTTCAGAGAGTCTCAAAGCACCCTTGTAGCCATTGTGTAAGGCTTACAGCGCTTGTGAGACTGCTTCTGTTATCCTCTTCAAATAAGTAGAAAAAGTTACTGGGAACAAAGTCTAGATCAGTTTAATTAACCCAATGTAATTAATCACCGAAGTTTTTCCATCCATACCAGTGTCTATTTTTAACTCAGTATGTAGGTGGGTATCTCCAGCCACAGACAATTCAGTGAAATCATTTCAGTTTTTGCTAATGGATATGGCAATACAACAGTTACTATGAACTATGGTGACTCAGTATCTTTCAGCGGATTATATAGAATATAATTTTTTTTTAAAGGTTCTTGCTAGCCAGTTACCAAAATAGACTCTATGCCACTTATGTGAAGGGCACCACAGAAACACCTAAGGGTGTGGAGAATGAAAACCTTAGGATTAGGCAGGATTCATGTACTGGTTCAGGGTGCAGTTCAGGTACTTAACGGTAAGAGACACTTTAGACATCTGCACAATCCTCCACTGGGCTTCCAAGTGCTGCATCAGAAGGGGAGAAGTCTCCGACAGGTACCATATCACATCCTCTGAGCGCAAGCAGAAATTTCATGTACCCTGACATGTGGAATGGTGCTAGACACCTGTGTTTAGGTACATGAATTACTTCCTAAGTGATTTCCCAATTCACCCAAAATGCTTTTTGCTAAAACTGTACTTTTCTTTTACATCATCATATCAATATTACATTGGTTTGACAGTCTTTCCATGACTAGAAATTATTTTAAAATGCAGAGATGGTATTTTGATATGAATATCTCAATATAAAATTTACCTTGTGTCATTCAGAGTTCCTGCATTTCTTAAATTCATGAACTGAACAGTCTTGCTCTTCACCTCTGAAGCACATGGTAATTGCTGTTCAAAGTCACCGTAAGTAAAGTGGAATTAAAAGTTAAAACACAAAAAATTATAAATCACGTGTTTGTCACATAAATTAAATAGATCCTTGAAGACCTTTCCACCCCACCCCCCCCGAAGTGAAATATTCATATTTTGTATCACAGAGCTAATATAGAAAGAATTGTGCAGCTTTAGTCCTTGGATGATTGGCAACATAGAATATTGTTGTCTTCTGGTACAAATCAATGACAAAAAAAGAATTTTATTCATACAATAGTGAACTAGGAAAGAGAAGAACTGTTTTCTCTTCTATTGCTCTGCTACAGAATTACTGAGCAACTTCAGACAATTGGCTTAGGCCAAGATTTTCACAAGTATCCACTACTCAAATGCTTCACTATCAACAGCTCATGTCCCTCTCTTAGAAGTCATGAATATGTTCAACTGAAATAAAGAGAAGCCCTGAATCCTCCTTAATTACAAAAGAGCTAACATCACACTTAACATTACAGAAGATCTCTTCTGTAAAACAAGCTGTTTCTTTTCTAATTTCAGTTTAAAAAAAGCTTTAAAAAACAAATCAAAATTACAGAAAACCTCTATCGACATACTGGCAATAGAAGACAAGGGAGCAAAATGGACAACCCCTTTGAGGGGAAGCAATACATCAACACGTGTAAAAATAAAGTCGATCCCCTCGTCTAACACACTAGCGGAAGCACTTATGCTCTCCACCAGGAAGATAGCAGGCTTGCCATTTTCTTCTTAACCTGGCCTATGAAGGTGTGTATTTCTGGATGAATGGTGAGACAGCATTCTTGATTGCTTTTTTTGTACTTGCACAAGGTTTTGAAAACTAAGAGAGTGAGCTGAAAAGCAAGTGACCTTTAAAAAGGAACTGTGACAGCCAAGCACGCACAAGCAAAACACAAAACCATCTCTCTCCCCATGCGGTTTGACATCTATCCTCAGGCATTACAGATGAACCTGTCTGTTAGTCCAAAGCCGTGACACGGACAGAGCACAGCAAACTCCTGGCACCATCGCGATGACACGGGCTGACACAATACACACACCGATGCCTGCCTGCTTTTGACTGCGCCCTTTAGCACTTCCTTCACACGCACTTAGGATCAGAAGCTGCAAGACCACAAATGCGTTCGGGTTCTGGCCAGACCGAGAGGCCGTACCTGCCTTAGCACTCACTTCATGACTCGAGGCCGCCAGCACGGTGCTGGCGTACATACAGCTGGTACCGCCCCAACACGTTCCAGACCCAGCGCTCGCCAAGGGTGGCGGGCACGCCTCTTCTGCCACCGGAAAAGGCCAGCGGGCGAACAAGCCCGTCGCCCTAGAGCTCGGCAAAGGCTGCGGCGCCCCCCCGCGCGGCAGCCCTCGCCGCTGCCGTGCCGACAGCGCAGCGCGGCTCTAACCTGCGAGGGCGGGCAACCACCCAGGCCGCCGGCCCGGCACTTTCGCCCCCGCTTCCCCCACAGGCGGAAGGCCGAGGCGCGCTCGGGCCGGGAGGGCCGGAGGAGGGAGCGCCGCTGCCGGG